CACCAAGTCCAACAAGGCATCCCCCCTGGTGGGGCTGTGTAATCAACTCTTCTGCCCATGCTCCAACCATCAGTAGCGTAAGTAAAATAAACTTTGTGTAACCAATACGCTTTAAAACTGCCTGACTCCTACTCGCCATTAACACCCACCTGTCCAGCTACCGATCCCACTCGCACCAAGCCGGTCGTGCCGACCTAAGCTCGCAGGTCAAGGGTGCACTGGTCTCTGGGCGCAACAATGCTCAGCTTACAGTCTACCATAACCTCCAGGTCCTTGACTGCAGTACTACTACCTAGCTACTCATTTCCGCACTTGAGATGGAATAGTTGCATGCATAGATACAGACTGGGGATTTTGCACTTGTCTTAGTTTAATCTCATCCAATTGATTGTGCACAATTTTTGCAGCCTAATCAGATCAATCTGGATCCTAGTCCTACTGTTCAGAGTATCTGTATCTCCACTTGATTGAGTGCATACTGAAGAAATTTGCAGGTGGCACCACCTCCAGTCATCCAAGTCATTAATGAAGATACTGAGCAATACCGGACTCAGGACAGACCCCTAGGGAACTCCACGTGATACCTCCTCTCAGTTAGACATTGAGCCAGAGGAATACTCTTTGAGCATGATGATCCAACCAGTTATATATCCATCTTACAGTATCGTCAGCTAGTCTGTATTTCTTGGGTGATTATAGAACATGCCAAAGAAAGAGTGAAAAGCTTTGCTACAGTCAAAATATATTGCATCCACTGCTCTCCTGCCATCCACAGAGCCTGTCCCCTTATGAAAGAAGGGAATCAGGTGGGTCAGGCATGACTTGTTCTTCATGAATCCATGCTGGCTGTTCCTGATCATCTTGTTCTCCTTTAGACATTTCACAAGAGATTCCTTGAGGACCTGCTCCGTAGTCTGATCTCAATACCTGGAAAAATTAAGTGGTCTAAGCCCCTGGGTCCTCCTCCTTCCCTTTCTTAAGAGGGAGCTTTATATGGTCAGTAACTAATGCAAATAGATAATACTTCCTTTAATTCTGATATTGATTTCTCTATTCATCCTAGAAGCACACCAATGAATACTTTGGTTTGTGAGGAAATGCTGTAGGTGGACTTGAACAGTGATTTTTAATTTTTTAGTTATGTCAGTTTGAGATTCAGCAATTTCCATATAGACAGGACCCACAATATTTCATTATGTAGTATAAAGAATATTTAAACTCACCCATTCTTGGTTGGAACCTTGCATCGGTCGAGCAGCAATGGTGTCATGCCACATAATTCCAGAGTTGACAAAGTGTCTAAACATGGCCAACTGGTACCATACCAATATACAGTAACAGATGTGTCATTAAAAATAATATCCACCTGCTCCACTACATGCTCCTTTCCATTTCTGTCCTTCAGTATGATCACCCAGCTCAAATTAGATGCTCTGTTATTGGGGAAGTGAGAAAGAGAAAGGTTTCAAAATGACCTGTCAAAAATGACAAGAATGATATATGGAAGTTTGATATTCAGTCAGCAGAATGCTCTGGAATTTCTAGGAGCACGGCATGTTTGTTTCCTGTTCTGATCAGTGGAAAAAAACTAAGGTGGCTTCTTCAGTGCAGGAAAAAAAAAAAAGTGTATTTTCCCTTTACTTCCATTAACTTATCTACATTCTTAGAGCTAAGTCACAAAGATAACGTACTGATAGTACCTTCTGTTCCCCCCTACACAGAAAAGACACAGATTCACTACATAAATATTCTGCATATGGCTTAGGGGCAAACACACTTTATGACAAAACACTGCTTACTTTATAGCTTCCTTGGTTTTAAGTGGAAGGCCAGTGTAAAGGTTTATAGGTCTGAGAAGTTGAATTATTCCGGTTTTGGTAGTTGCTTTGCATTTCATAATGTATTCCTTTTTCCAGTACCCTAATTTTTTTTCCTGGACTGTAGCATGGCTCAATGAGACAGTAGTTGTTTCTATAGACTCAGTTTTCCAATTAATTATTTTACATGGAAAAGAGCTGGAATAGATTTTGAACCAGATGACACTGTGAGAAACAAAAATAAGAAATAATGAAAATAACAAAAAGGCAAACAAAATTAATGGCAAAAAGAGTTATTATAAATTAAAAGAACATGCCAAAATATAAATCCACTTCCAAAAAACAGAAAAAAGCAATTGCATGTTGATCTCATTAATAAAAAGTTATTGTCCAGGTCTAAAATCTGAGCTGAGTCAGAGCAGCCCCAACTGGCAGGAGACTGGGGTGGGGGGCTACCTGGCTCAACATGCTGCAGAGGGGCTGGGTGGGACACAAGGGTGCTCCAGTGCAGGGCTAGCCAGTAGGCAGCCCCTGCACTGAAGCATCCTCGTGTCCCAGCCAGCCCCATCAGCATCTATCATATGTACTGCAGTGCACACACACAAAAACTTCACAGCAGGATAATACTTGTATTTACAAATATTAACCTGCTGCAGATTTTATTAGTTTTCTTGTGGCTTAATAGGGCCATACATGTAGGTACTGAGACATCTACTACAGAGTTAATTGGGCAACACCACAGTACACATAGCATGCCCAATAAGTTTACTCTGTAATAAGAAGCAAATACATAAATAGCTCTCCCAAGCAGTTTGCCCAAAGTATGCACTCTTACAGTGCCAAGCCACTTGGCAGCAAGGAAGTCAGTTTGCACTGAACAAATGGGCACTCTAGAATAAAACTGACAATAGTCCAGACACACAACAAGTATTTCCAGGATTGTCAGAAGCAACTTCATGCCAAGAAAACAGCATTTCCTCTAGGACACATGTTGTGTTATTTGCCCGTTTCATTTTTCTTCTGAAGTAAACTGACGTGATTGCAGGCATGATTCAAAAGTAATTGATAAAGGGATATCTGCCTGCACTGCAGATTACTTCAGGTAATAACTCAGAAGTACAGACTTCCCCACCTCACTAATTTTATTGGAGTGTCAGCTCTGAAATCTCATGACGGCACTTCAGTGTGAATATTAATCAATTTCTCTGCATTTTAATAAGTGGACTGGGAAATGTGTTAGGGCAAGGGGCAACACTAGTGGGGGCCTACAAAGGAGAGCCAAATTTTCTCACTGAGAGATACTGAATGCCACCAAATACCAGACAAACAAGCCTACAACTTCCAATTACTTCATGCATACAGTGCCCTGCAACATGACAAAAAATACCTGGTCAAAAAAAGCAAGCACCTAAAAAAAGGACCAAAAATAAATAATAAAAATAAAAAATTCTGATGCTCCCGGTCTCACCTGCATGCAAGAAGGGAAGCTGGCAGTCTGTGCTAGTATCTCTAAATCAAAGTATACATGCATCTTACAGAGCAGTAAATGCTTAGGGGTATATTTTCAAAGCAACGTGTTTGGCTTTAGCCACATAACTTCTATTAACATTAATAGGACTTCCACAGCTAGAACTCCTTAAAATAATTTGTAATACAACCAAAAAATAGCTAGCAGGTAGTTACATCAATTGTCTAGCATAAACGAAACCAAATTAAAAAGGCTCACATAATTATTTTGACGATATGAAATTGAGACCACCGTATGCATTTCCCCACTTCCTTACTTGTCATTGGCCAGATTATAAAAGCGCCAATTCACACATCCGATACACAACAGGGTCACAGCATCCAAATAAGAAAGTATTTTCAGCAATATCTCAGATGGCATACTGGAATAGAAAAAAAAAAAATGGGGGGCAGTGTGTTGCTAGAATTATCCACAAAACTACAAGGATGACAGTGACTAAAGCCTTTAACCCCCAAGTAGAAGAAAGTGAATCTAAAGAGAAAGTGAGGCTACCAGTTCATAAATACACATGTCAAACCTGTCTTCATAAAAAGCCATTTTCTTACCTCTTAAGCATTAAACCCTGCAGTCTTTATTAGTTTTGCTTTGTTTCTCTAATATAAAAACCTCTATATAAAGCACTTCACAACAGCCTACCTGAGTGGTAAAAGATGTTAACAACAAACCTAGTTTCTTGAGTTTCATGTTACTATGGTGCACCTGAAACCAATCTGGATTTTGAAAATAGTAACAATTCTTTTATATGACATTAAATTACATTGCTCAACATCAGGGGTTTTCAATCTTACTTGTATTATGGCTCCACATTTAGAAAAACCTCGCAGTTCTTGTTAAATGTATCCCAGAATTTGCATGTGAACACTTAACTTTTGACTGTGGCTCTTAAGTCTGAAAATTCATCACCAGCTAAAACACCCATAAAATCACCCTCTCACCTCTACAGTTGAGAGTGTATTGATAAAAGGCCTGACTCAACTCATTGGATGTCAATGGAAAGAGTACCAATGATTTCAGTAGGAGTTGTATTTCCTTTTTCCACTAGAAGCAAGGCAACTGTCAGGGCATACATTGGGTGAATATTGTCATTTCTATCTCTGGTACAGAAAGCAGTCGATAGCCATGACCAAAACACAAGTGCGCAGCTGCAGGCCACTTCAAAAATGGCCGATTAGGTGAAAGTCTGAACCCTCATTCCATGCAGGGTCAGATGAAGAAATTACAAAACAGCATCTTCCATAACTTCTGTCTGCTTGCCTGCCCACCTCCAAGCTCTTTTCAAAATGGGAAGGGGGAAGGGAACAGAGGAAGTTCTGGCTGAAGGATTTTCAGCTCTTGCTGGAGAGTGAGGCAGATGTATTGGAGCCCCCCTGAGGTGGGGGAAGCTACAATTCATCAGCCCCACCCTCCACTGCCAGCTGGGGAACCCCTAGAACAAGCCCCCTCTGCTTCCCCCTCCAATTCTGAAAACAGCCGGGGCTGGAAGGAGGGGCCATTGCTAAGGGAAACTAGCTACAGGCTGGCAGCCAGCAGACAGCTTCGCCTCCCTGCTGGAGCTAACAGTGAGCTTCTGTTTGGTCCTGGGGACCATTGCAACTCAGAGCACTTCCTGCCAAACATTCTGAGTTACAACAGGGATCGGCACTTCTGTCTGCACCCTCAAGCTATTCAGGCTGAAATGTAGGCAACTTCCCTGAAATCCCAGGGCACCTATAGACATGCAGCAAGGCTGCTCCAATGGGCTGTTATTACAGTGCATCAGAACAGACTCAAGTTATCGAGGGTGCTGGTGCATGGTAATTACCATACATGTGACGCTCGAGTCTGGAGCATCAGCATTCATGAGCTGAAAAATGGCAGCAGGAGTGCTTTAACTAACTAAAGCTCATTCAACAAGCTTTAGTTAAAAGCACCCCACCACCATTTTTCAGTGCATGGACACTGATACACATGACACTTCAGGTGCTTTAATTAAGCAGTAAGCTGCTCTAATTAGGCCCCCCCTACTCCTGGAGCACATCTATTAAACAGCCACATTGGACTGCGTGGAAGCAGCAGCAGCAGCAGCAATAGACTGCATACAGGGTGCTGAAGGAGCTGCCCCTGCATACATCCTTTGTCTAGAGAATTTAATACGTATGTTCTTATTGTAACATTTGTTAACAGTGCAAATATAAGTAAACATTTTATTTCCTCACTTTTCCAGTCTTGGTAATACCATGGTTTCAAAATGGCTGCTCAAAGCTAGGAGAAATTGATTCTGTGGCCCAAGTTTCTCCTGCTCCCTATGGACTGAGAAAATCAATTATGAATCCTATTTTAATCAGCTTTGGTTTTTCAACAGCATTTGTATATATAAATGTACTGCTTAATCTCGTAATATAGGACCTCCTAAAAAAATACAAGCTGACAATGCTAGAGGGACATATTAAAAAGAGAGACCAAGGTCTAAGTTACACCTATACAATACATAAGCACATCAATAGCCACATGCAATTATATCAGTGGTGTTTGCCAACAGCAGCCAGTATATTGGCTCCAGCCACAATTTGGGGTAGAGACTTGAAAACATGGCTTTCAAAATGACAAAAATCAACTCCATATTCAGAAAGGTACAAAAATAATGGACCCTACATCTGCTCTACAGTCCATTCATTGATGGGGGTTTTTACAAACTTCAGTTTCCCGTGCTCTTAAACAACAATATTTTTCCTCTTCACTGTTTGTTTGCCTTTCATGTAGCAATAGAGAAGAGGGGAAGCAACTTGGATATATCAATGCATGGGGAAACAAGGAAAATGGCTGAACAAAAAGTACTGAAACGCAAGTAGCAAAGTGAACTACATTTCTTTACTTTCAGTCACAAGAGTCTCATATAGTATTTGCAACAATAAAGTACATGAGGAAAACATGTTTAGGTTGAAAATTTCTCTGATATCTCCAGAAACAGTGGTTCAGTCATGTCTTTAGGAGCTGTTCTGAAGCAAGTGATGAGGGTGACCATTTCCCCCCGCCCCACTCTAGCATGCTAAAACTCCCTATGACAAAACACTTGGCATGAAAGGCACTTGAAATTTTAGTTATAAACTCTGTCTTCCTAAACTAATATTTCAACAACCTTGATGGTGAGAAGCCATGTAGCCCACAAGTTACAGG